AACAAACTTTCAATATCAAAATCCAAGATGGCTGCCTGTCGGCAATGTTGTTTATCCGATCAGTCTCAAAGTTGCCCTGCACAGCTAAGGACCAAGGGGAACCTACATATAAAATTTGAGAACGATCCCTCTAGTACTTCTTGAGAAATAGCGATAACAAACTTTCACTATCAAAATCCAAGATGGCTGCCTGTCGGCCATGTTGTTTATCCGATCAGTCTCAAAAGTTGCCCTGCAAAGTTAAGGACCAAGGGGAACCTGCATATAAAATTTGAGAAAGATCCCTCAGGTACTTCTTGAGAAATACCGATAACAAGAATTGTTTACGGACGGACGACGGACAACGGACGGACGACGCACCACGGACGCAGGGTGATTTGAATAGCCCACCATCAGATGATTGTGGGCTAAAAAGAAAGCTGATGCACATCTTATGATCTGCTTCAGGCCTGAAGTAGTTCCAATGATTGTAGAGTGACTGACAATGTACTATGATTTAAGACCACTAAACTTGTTTGGAATTCCTCCAAACCAAAGCACTGAATTTAGTAAAAAAAAAATAAAAAATATCAACATGTTTTAGTTTGATTGCTTCAAGCACAACGTCAGTGTTATTGTAAGATTTAGCAAGTCCAATGTCTGCTTTGCTCACTTAGCAGAATGCAAAATTCTTTTACATCTAGGTAGCACCCGATTCAAGTTAAGTACATGTATCACCCTTTTAATAACATTTTACCTCCAATAAATCCCCATATACATTCAGAATTTACATGTAATAGTCATAAAATGTAAATGTATCACTCCAAACAATACACAAAGAGCTAACATTTATACAATTTAGTAGTATTTTCATTTACAGGAGTGCTCCATAAAATGTAACCAGAGTTTATTACCAGTGATAGTATGTAGCTAGCAGTAAACCATCCTCAATTTCCAGGGGTTACGCTCACCTACGCTGTAGAGAGCGTATGTGAGCGTAACCCCTGGAAATCGAGGATGGCAGTAAGCCTGCAGTCAGTTCATGGTTATATGTAGTCCGAATTATTCCAACGTTTTATCGACTTTTTTCATATCGGTCTGTCGTCGATTAACGTCAGAACTCCGGCCCTCTATAATATGCGGGAAATATGCGACCCGCGCACGGAGCGCACTTCAAACTGATATTTTAGAAACAAATCGTCACTTTCACACACATGTCGCACATGGATCGAAAGTTCTATTCTTTATGCACTAGATGGTATCAATAACATGTTTCAAAGATCATTACGAAAAGTATTTTCCAACGTTTTCTATACCAACCCATGTTTTTAATGGAAATTAGGCCATGAGCAATGTCCCATGACTTGACGAGAACTCGCATTACCGAAGATATTTCCCAACGTTATGACGCAGGCCGGCGAGATTTTAGTCACGTGGCATTAGAAGGCGGGGCTATAAAAAACTACCGTAAAACAGAGTAAGTTTGAAAAAATATCTTTTTAGTAATTGTATTAGTTGTTTGAGGCATGTTATGTATGTTCATCTTGTGCATAAAGAATAGATCTTTCGATCCATGTGCGACATGTGTGTGAAAGTGACGATTTGTTTCTAAAATATCAGTTTGAAGTGCGCATATTTCCCGCATATCATAGAGGGACGGAGTTCTGACGTTAATCGACGACAGACCGATATGAAAAAAGTCGATAAAACGTCAGAATAATTCGGACTAGGTTATATGTTACCAACAATGGAAGCAAGTTGGTGAGCAAGTCAGTATTTCACTGATCATGATGCATATTAATGATTTCATAAAAATCAACAGGGACAGTAGGGACAAAGCATTTCAGGATATTTAAAACACACACCTATATAGAGAACCGATATCAAGCTGAAGTTTCTTGATCATGCATGTAAACAAGAAAACATTGTTTTGATAAAGACAAAACATAACCTTTAACATAAATGTTGTATAGTATGTGTACATGTACTATCATTCTATTGTACTATACATTTTGAATAATAAATGTTACACAAAAGTAGTACATATTGTACAAATATCTGATGATGTTATATATCAGTGGTACACTGCAATCTGGCAGACAATTAGTGTATAAAATACATGTACATAATGATCCGAGAGCAAGTGAAATTATGTCTAGTCATGTGAAACAACCTAGCTGTGTGACTGACCTTTCTGTATGTACACGCAATCAAGATGCTGATATTGCTAATGAAATTTTTAGGTTTAGTTGAAAATGAACAGAAAATCTTCTACTGAAAATACTTTTTCTAAAATAAAAATTTGTTGTGGAAGTGTGGCCAGGATGGACAAGAACACAGCCATCTTATATTATGAGACAGCCAGTATCTATAACACTGACTTCAGTCCAATACAACTGGTTCCATGAAGACACTGCCATGCTTACTTGGGTGTAATGTGGGAACGTGCTGGGCCATTCTGTCATCTTTTAGCATGTGTAGTAATGTTGTCTTTCCTGCATTATCAAGTCCCAGGAACACAAGCTTACCCGACTTTTTATATAAACCTACAATGACAAAAGACCATGCGCTTTCTCATTATGCAAATATATTAACACAAAAACAGCAACTAACACGACAGTGAAACACAGCAACAGCATGCTGTTGGAGAATAAAACAGGTGCAATGCCATGAACTAATAGATCAACATAACAAATCTAATATAGTTCTGTAAAGCTGACGATAGGTTTATATATAGAAGAACAACGAATAATATATACACGTAGTACCAATTTATCATGGTTTCATACTGTATTTGGGAGGTAAATCTAATCTTTTGTCATCAATACAAGTAGCTTTTCACAATTTACCCAACTCTTCTTAGAATTTTAAGATTACTAGTTGTGATCAGAATGTTGTCCTTTAACATGATTTCTCAAATATGTTGCCTAATTTCATGACATTGTACATTGTTAAAAACAAGGTCTCCATGCACTGAGCCATGATGCTGGACTGGTCACACAGTTGCTGCATACTTACTAGGGTGGAGAGTAGGGACTGGCTGAACTAAATGACCTTCTTTGAGCACGCTCAAAAGCGTGGTTTTCCCGGCATTATCCAGACCAAGAAACAGCAATTTTCCTGACTTTCTTGTGAATCCTAGTTTTACACAATTGTCATGTGTGTATATACTAGTACTCTATACATATATATATATATATATATATAGTATTTTTCTTTTCTTAAAGTTTGGTTATTTTTGTTTTTTAAACACAATCTATAATTGTTACAAACTTCAGCAGATTTCATTTTGTACCGCAAGGTCTATATCTTGGTATAGTGTACCTTTTAATAATTCGTATATTTAATTCATAGTCTCACTGTTTCAATCAATACCAAACAATGTCAGAAAGTATAACTCATTTTACTCACCGTTTTAAGTTATACATTTAGATTTTTTGGTTAACTTAAGAAAAAAAAATGCATTCATTAAGAAGCATGAATAATAACCTGGAAGGTGAGAAACAGAACTTTAGATTCCAAAAATGAAGGAATATATATATTCCAATAGTGTCAGAGTGTATTGTCCTGTTAGCACCATTAAATCCTTTAAACAATATTGTATGAAATTCAATATTTTATTAAACAAAACCTTTTACCTAATAAGCTGTTCAGTTCAATATTTGAGGATTTAATTCATAATGCATAGGTTTTAATTTCTTTCACAAATTTTTACAAAGTGTTGCATCATATACCATCAAATAATCTAAAACAGAATTACTAGTAAGAAACCCTCATGACAGTATACGTGTAATCCCATTTATCTAGTTGTATTTTCGCTTTCTGTAGTTAATAGATTATAATTGACTAAGGTTATAATCAAAATGTAACAGATTTTTAAATTGATTAAAATTACCTACTTTAATGTATCTCCAATTACTATATATATATACTTACACTTTAAGGGAGCCTATATATATAGCTATATCACCTTGGTTAATTATACCCCGATTGCAATTCCTTATGTATTGTACCTGAAAGACATTTGGTACCAGCTATATATTCTACATGAAAGAAATGGTTTCCTTTTCATTCGCATGAAAACATATTTGTATTTTTTTTCTGTTGGAATAGCATTACCACTATTCAAGAATGAAACAAACATCACATGTGAGTGACAGGATGCAGTATATTTCTTTACATTAGTCAGTGTTGGATGAAACAAAAGTTTATACTCACCTAGATAATTTAATATTCCAGCAAACCAGTCCCACAGAAACATCTTTCTTGAATAGCCTGAAAAGAAAAACAATTGAAGTGTTTGATATAACAATTGATGTAATTTGAAATGGCAATCAACAATTGTTTGACTTTCTTTTTTCACTGAGAGTTGCATCGTAACACTTTAAAGAAGCGGAAAATATGTTATTTCCCCCCCCCCCTTTTGTGAGAGTATGTACGTTAACATAACATTTTCAAAAACCTTATAATTTTATACATTAATCAACACTTTCTTACCAAATCAATTACCAAATAGTATTGCTGGAGCAAAGTTTCACCTAAAGAATACCTCTCTATTTATGAGGGTTTTTTTCATTTTAGATGTTCTGAATTAAATTTGAGTAACAAATGCATTTCAAGTCCAGAAAACGACTTTTATTTATTGCATACTGTTAACGCTAGGTTACTTTATTTTGATTACCAGTAATGTAATTGTCATGTGGATTGTGACACCTGAGCTCATCTCACCGAAAAAAACACAAAAAACAATATCTTCTTTCTAGAATCCTGCAGCCGGTAGACCTATTCTATCAGTTTTGTTAGCTGTAAGTTGGTTTATTTTGATGTAAGTTGACACAATCAGATTAGCACATTTACATCTGTTCTGTCAATTGACAAAGCAAACTTGTCAAACACAAGTCATGCATGTCTCACTTGATTATATTTGCCATGCTTTTTAAAGTACTTGTGCCCAATTAATATATATTCTTATTAACCAATGAGGCGTGTCGTTTCTTTACCAACGTATGTTAGGTTAGACAGTAACTACTGCATTCAGAAAAAGTAACATAATACTGCATTGTACAGTAGGCCGAGTAGCTAGGCCAGCTGCCTTGGTACAACAGAAATGCTTGTTGAACCAAACCAAGAATTACGTTGTTATATATAACCGAAAATGACATACGTTAATCAACCACAACAAACTCATTTCTCCTCATTTATAAAATTGTACGATGACGTAATTGATATTGAAATAGTTGTAAGGTACAAGTATAACGAGCATTTCGGATTTCGGTTTCGAGTAAGTTCTACGAATGAACCCTGTGCTTCCCATCTCATGTAAATCCCATTCACTAAAATGACGAAGTTTATCACATTACTTACAATCTTTGTGTTGCAAATGATAAAGTATGGACGGTCAAACTGCACTAGTTATTGCCACTTATTTCGTACAAGAGTGTAGACGAAACTGCACTTTGTACACGAAAGCAAGATGGAAGGAACGTCGTTTTGCAAGAACTGTGTTTATTGGATAGGTGATAAATATTGACCAATGAAAATGATTATAACAAAAGAGTGTTTCATATGTACTTCCGGTAACTTTAAGGACTTTCCTCAGGATGGCATCGGGGTCACTGGTTAGTAGACAGGCCTAAGTAACTCGCACTGTAAACACACGTATATTTTAGAGTTAAACTTTCGAACATCCTTGATAGGTTTGGATCATACCATTTATAAAAGGGGACGGCGTTCTGACACAAAATCGCAATAACTTACCAGATATGCATTTCTGTTGAAAAACATTTTGTTTATCTCCCCTTTAGGCTTTACCTAACGTTACAGTTATCAGTGTCTAACGGAGAATGAACCATTTATATCAAAATGTATGGAGTATTTGATGTCATTGAGCATTGAGTACGCCTGTGTTGATCCTATAAACGCTACCGAAATCATACTTAAACTTTTAACTTAAATATAATAAAAACAAAGGTGTCAATATTGAAAGCATGTTTCACACGTTTAGACAAAAAACCTTATTAAGCTAACTGTTATAGCGTATGCTCAACCGAAAGAAAGATTAAATGTTACCTTGTGGAATACGTACCAGAATATTGTTAATTGTAAAGATGATGTGATAGGGACATCATAATCCTAATCAGATAGTAGTTTTCCCACTGCCAGGTTAAATCTTGCTAAAAAAAATGGTAAATTTCCGTTTTAAATTCTTTCTGAAGGGCTAGTAAAGCTTATGCTGTGGCGCAGCATCTGTCCGTCCGTCCATCCTTCGCCGTCCATCCTCTTTCCTTTAAACAATTTCTTCTGAAGAATGGACAGGCCTAGAGTCATGATATGTCTGAAAGCTTCGTTGGTAAGAGCCCATGCAAACAAAGTTTGTAAACGAAAATGACCTTGACCTGCTTTCAAGGCAACAGGGGTCAAATGTGTCAAACACTTCAAACATTTATTCTGAATAATGGACAGGCCTAGAGTCATGATGTTTGGTTGAAAGCTTCATAGGTAAGAGCCTGACAAATTTTGAGAACAAAAATGTCTTTGACACACTTTCAAGGTCACAGGGGTCAAATGTGTCAAAAAACTTAAACAACTTCTTCTTAATAATCTTTAAGCATTTGAATATAATATTTGGCTGGTAGCTATAGCTTCCTATGATGAGCCTGATAAATTTTGCAAATGAAAATAACCTGGATCTTCTGTCAAGGTCACAGGGGTACATATGTCAAACACTTCAACCAACTTCTTTGAAAGAACTGAAAGGTAAAGAATTTTCAAATTTCGCTGGTAGCTTCTTCAGCTGAAGCCTGACAAAGTTTGCGAGAGAAACTAACCTTGGCCTTCTTTCAAGGTCACAGTGGTCAAACACCTCAAACGACTTCTGAAGAAGAACTGAAAGGTATTGAGCACAACAAAGTTTGCAAATGAAAATGACCTTGACCTACTTTCAAGGTCACAGTGAAAAAGTTTGTGATTGAAATATTTGTAGTTTAGTATGATATTTAATGAGAATATTTTGGTATGATACAGGCCCTCTGGGCCTCTTGTTTTTATATGCCCGTCAAATTTGACGGGAGTAATATGGTATGGGTTTGTCCAGCCGGCCAGCCAGCGTAAACTTTTATTTGTCCGGCAATCTCCTCCTACATTTTTCAACGGATCTCTTTGAAACTTGGTATACATTATAATCATGATATAAAGTTGTCTCCCTTAAAAAGAATTTTGATTCAACGATATTTGCAAAAGTTATTGCCCTTTGTTCATTTCAGTAACAATAACACAATATGGCATTCGACGGCGTATATTGTTCCGCCCCACAATACTCGTGTTGCTATTACAGTTCATGATCCCTAACACCTTTTCTTTACCAAATGTGAATGATATTAGTAACACAAGAATGATGGAAGTAACATGTGAATGATGGTAGTAACATGTGAATGATGGTAGTAACATGTGAATATGACCAGGATTTGGCTCCAAACATTCTTCTATGCAGTTCTGAGATGCATTTTCAATTTATTCTAAATGGTTCATCAATTACAAGAGGCTGTCATATAAATTGTACATGTGAAGTGCAAGAATCTGATCATATTTGAAAGAACTATTAAATTCTTTGTCAGAAGGAGGGAAAACAGAATGGAAAGAGGTGGCTATCAATTTTTTTTTAATCAGAAATAGTAGGGAGAGGAACCAGTACATGTACTTATTTAGGGAGATAATGATACATAATATACATATTACATACAAAACATATATGCTAGTACTTTTAGAATTAACGTTCAGTAAGTTTCATGAAGCAAGTATGTGTAATGAAATATCACACCTTTGTTTATAGACGTGTAATACTGTTTTTTTCTTTTCTTTCAGTGCCGGGTTGTTCAACATTGCAGGCTTGTACAACACTGCTCCAAGAGATGCCTTCAAACATCGCCTGTTTATCAGAAAAATATCAGATCTGGCATTCCAAAAAGCACAGTCAAAAGAAATATACCCCTGACTTATGAGACTGCACAGTATCCCTACCAAATAGGAGTGACAAAATCTTGGAATTCCTGGCATACAAGTAATGAATATTTCGTTCATAGCTCAGTGGTCTATCAATCATTTTATATACTTTTATAAGATGCTTAGGGTCATGATATTTAATAGTATGCTGGGGTGAAAAACTATCAGGTTTGTTCAAATAGTTGACTTGGGCCAGTACATGTATTTATCTATTATGAACTTGTTCTCATGCTCAAACTCAGATTCTTTGCTCAAGCCAAATTTCTCGTTTCTGTAATAAGAGGTTTTGGAGAGACTCAAAGACGTAGACTGTTTTCATTGTTTCCACAGGAGGTTTTCTTATTGTGTCACATGATTTAAGTTGGTTACAAGAAAGTTCATTTAAGCACAAAACTCATGGTTAATTGAGCATGAAAATGGTTTAATATGGGCCTGGGACTAACATTCATGGCTACATGGGTCATATGTTAAAAAACCCACTTACACAACTTCTTTGGTGTTGTCTCACCTAGCATGCATACTATTAGTAACCAATAGGCCTAAGGCAAAGGTCAAGACATTTAGCTTGTAGCATGCAGGGGTGAGGGTTTATGACATTTGTTGAATTGAATGACCCTGGGTTGCTTCAAGGAGATAGGGGTTGAAGTTTTAAGAACCTTTAACCTTTTTTGATATTAACTAACCATGTGAGTTTTGGCCCGTAGCATGTTGGTGTGAAGGTTGTCATGTTTGTTCAAATGACTAGCGTTTACCTACATTCTAGGACACAAGGATCAAAGGTTTTGGTAATCATTAAACAACTACTTCTAACAACCAATCATATTATTTGGCCTGGCAAGAAAAATAAGCTACTGGTATAATCTTCAGACAAATCCTCATTATAGATATTTAGCCTGTTAAAATATTTTTAATATTGAAAACTTGGAAGGTCACCAATGCGAGATGTGTTTGTCAAGTGTGAATAACAAGAGAGTGGTGTGGGCACAATACACAATACACACCTCGCTCATTTTTAAGTTAAAATTAGTACTCTAAGTTTGGAAATTCATATAATTAAGGGACTTGTGCATCTCCCAATCTCTTTTAACAGTAGGTTAGATCTGTTTGGATTGCCATCTTTTTGGCCAATATCATCACCAATGGGTACCTGAAGGACGAAACAGCCGTATGGTGCAGTGTAATGCATTTTTAGTATATGTCAATTACCAAATTGTAAAGGTGCAATCGTAAGCGTGTCTTACATACATCTTTCAAAGGACATGTACAGTGGTTCTTCTATTTTTTTCTGTGTCCTCTATTAAGATGACCTTGAAGAAATCAAAATTGATCTGATGCTCCATCATCACATTGCTTGGGATCTCTATATCTTTTCCTTTTTATCTACTAGTTAGTTTTTGTGATGTCGGCCTATAGCTAGGCACCAATTTTATATGACCTTTAATGTTTGAGGATGTTAAACCCCAAACAAATAAACATCTAGATTTTTCACTGGCTATGGACTTCATTGAAAGCTATAGCCAATAGATTACTTGAGATGTCTACTAATTAATTGCATAGCAAGTGTAGTAATGATATTACAAAGTATGAAACTTTCTTACCATACAATTTTTTCAGCAAACCAATCTTACCTCTCGCAAAAACATCTGTTTTAAAAAATAATTCCCCATGAAAATGTGTATGTTGTATAATTACATGAAATTTTATAAAAGGTGAGAAAGTACTATTGTATACCTGGAAATTCTCACTGCATTTTAACTTTCACCTTTTAAATTTTCGACCTTGACAATGAGGGCAAATTTATCATAAAAGGGATTATATACACAACATACCATATATAACTATAACACTTGAAGGACGAACTAAACACTGGGCGAACATTGATTTTAACGGTACAGGGCAAATATTTGACAGGGTGTACATTTTCCTGTACACGGTGTTAAGACAATACAGGGTCTGATCTATTGTTTCACCAATGTTTTAATGCTTGTGAACTCTTGACAATCAGTGGACAAATCAAACATTAGTTTTACGAAATGTGGTGAACAACAATGTCTAGAGAAATGATATTGGTCGGATGGCTGTTCAAGTTCGGGATGTTTAAAAGATGATATATCCGATGTGATCATTATCAAATATGTTTGCTAACATCAGTAAATAACAGTTGAGAGATACAGGCCCCACAAGCCTTTTATACCTCATTATTTTTTAATGAAATGATGTCTAGACTATGTTTACTTCACAGGTAATTTACATGAAGAGGAAGGAGCATCAGAAGCAGCCATGGAGGATGAGCTGATCAGAAAACTGATGAGAGGAATCTGGGGCAGGAGACTCATGTCAGAGTGTATCATTAAACGTCGATTTAATACAGTAACATTGGTGTTTTTAGCAAACCAATTCGGGAAGATGGGAGAATTGAGTTTTCTTGTTGGTTTTACAGAAGAACTTTTCAGCCATTTGTTGAAACGTCCAGTAAATATTGAAATGCAAACTGTTCCTGAAAACCCAGACTCAAGTTTTAAACATGTCTAATTTTGTAGATTCTTATTGATATTAAATATTTTGCTTTCATGTATCATGTGATTTGTTATTTTTCTTTTTCACACTTTGGTCATCAACCCTTTTTTTTAAAATGAGACTTAAGTCCCAAACATTATCTGTAAAAATTACAAAGACTTGTGGCTGCTGCACTGTCAGCAAGTGACATTCAAAGGAGAACATATAGCACTTCGTGATTTGCAAATTACATCAGTGCCCAGAAATGCTGAATACCTTGTGGAAATCATTTTGCAAAAATGTTATCCTCATAATGTTTGTCCAAATTGACCCGTAAGTATTCAGAGACAATGACATTTGTAGACCACATGATGCTACGGTGACGTCACAGCTGAAGCATATTCATTATTGAAAGTATATTTAATAGTGATAACAAAAATGTATTTAAATGCCACTTAATTACGTCGAAGAGTAAGAGACAACTTCTGTCAGTTAAGATTATAATATTTGAGGTTAGAGGATATAATTTTGGGTATAGTGATTGAAATAGTATGCAACATAAATGTAGATAATGAAAGATTGTGTTCACATATCAGTCAAAACAAAACCATCTTCATGCATCACTAAACTGGTTCTAAAAACATCTTGTGGAATCAAGTATTTTAATAGCAGTGTATTCTTACTGCGACATATCACGGACTTGGATAATAATCTCGGGTAAAATAGGCATGTTATTACAAGATATCACAATTTAGAATAAAACATAATTAAGATCACAATGCAGCTTGTAAATAAAAAAGAGTATTTTGTATTACAATAGATCTATCATAATAAAAGGTTTCTTAATTCAATCCTTGATGTATATCACAGAGTATAAAAAGTCTGATACACTGTTAAAAAAGGCAGATATTACTATAAAATGAGACTATTTTTAGTATATGAAGGTAGATATAAATATAAATAGGTCGCATAATAGGAGTGGTGAGTGCCATTTACCTAGGATTACCCATAAAAGCCACAAAGTGAGTGGCTTATTTAATTTAGGAATGAAACGTGCTCAATGATGGACCTATGGAACGTCCATATATAATTGGGGGGGGAGTTTGATGAGCTTGAGCTTTGAGAAATAGCATAACAAGAATTGCTCTATTGATAGCCAACTAGCATCAAATCACCCTTCATCCGTTATCCATTGTTAAACAATTTTGTACTGCTGTTTCTCATTATACTGACCTTTCTAAAATATCATGTAGGTTCGCCTCGGTCTGAATAGTTGCGCATTTTTCATTTTGAGTCCGATCAAAAGAACAAGATAACCGGTAATTAAAGCAGCCATCTTTTATTTTGATATATTCATTTTCATTATTTCTCAGAGTCGCTTTACAAATCCTTCTCAAATGTTATATTTAGTTTCCCCTTGGTCTTTATCTGTGAATGTTTGGTTGTAAAACTGAACACGGAAAAGCTTGCATAATAGATTTTGACAGAAAAAGTTTCGTTTTCTATAATAATCTTTGACAAAAAAAAAATCAATTTATTTATTAGGTACCCATTTTTCCTAACTCTTGCCTGTTTTATTTTGAAGTTAAATGGCGGCTATACAGTTATGAAGGAGCTTTCGACAGACTTTTCTCAAATTTCATAAGTAGGCTTTCCTCGGTCCTTATACTTAAGCATGTTTTTCTTTTTTGAAACTGATAGAAGAACGATGGCCGCCAAGGAGCCACTTTGGAATTTTACAGATCAAGTTCATTATATGTATTTCTTCAGAAGTTAATTTTCTACTGTCCGAAGTTGTGACTAATGAACAAAAGATGGCCGAAAGTCAGCGTCGTCTTCGATTTTTACCAATCAAGTTTGTTAAAGCTGTTCCTTAAGAAATGCTTGTAGATCTTTCTCAAATGATATTTGCTTGTTCCCTTTGGTAGTTGTGTAGGTTTCATTTAAAACTGATCGAGAAAACAAAATGGTCGTCAGCCAGATTCAATTGATATTTGTTATTCGAGTCGTCATTTCTCCAAGAGTACTTAACCTATCTTTCTGAAATTTCATATTTCATGAACATTTCCTTTTGACTAAACCTAACCTAGAGCTAATGAAGATCTTGCTATTGTGGACGCCAAGGTGCCGTTGTGTTTCAGTACTGACAATGATAGACTCCGGTGATCCTTCTGACTTCTCTGGTTACCCACAGTCAAATTATGTTACTGGATGGGGTGTCATACAAAATGTACGTATGTTTCCAGGTTATGACATCATAGTGATGCGACACTTAAACGTGGCCCTGCCTTCAGTGGTAGTTACTGTAGTCGTCAGACGAGTCATAGAACCTAAGCTGTTGCGAAAACTAACAAACAATTTGCTATCAAGTACATATTCTTAAACTCTACTGGTTGTTTTATATGAATCTTAATACAATTTCCAAAATAATGTCGGGGTTTGATTACAATCAACAGGGAAAGTATAGCTTGATAAAATACCATATCTCTTTAACTCTATGAAATACCACGTAAATATATCTTTCTCTTAAACAGATGTATTTAAGATCCTGCCTATAAATAAACATCAATGTATAAATAACTTCAAATGCTGACTTGCTAAGCTAGCAAATCTTCTCTTTTAGTACATGCAATATCTTGTTTACTTTGTAAGATATCTTGTTTACTTTGTAAGATATTTTGTTCACTTTGTAAGAGATTGTTTTTATTTTGCAAAATACCTTTTTTCTTTGCATGATATGTTGTTTTCTTTGTCAGATATATTTCTTATTTGTAAGATATCTTTTTTATTTTGTAAGATATTATGTTTACTTTGTAAGACATCTCGTTTACTTTGTAAGATATCTTGTGTTTCTGTTAAACGTAAATTGCCGTAAATAATGGTTTCCATGAACGATAAAGTGAATTGCAAATAAAACAAGATAAACTGTTTTATACGGTGTACATGTAAATTCATGCATACATATTTGTCACATTCAGTCAGCCCTATTCAATGTTGACTATTTCCGTAGCCATCAGCTATCATCTTTGGTTGCATAGATTGAGTCTTCTTTTTCTAATATTTCAAAGGAGGTGGTTATGAATAGATATTGTGCAATATTCCACTATTTAGATAGTAGAGCTACACTGTCGTGTCCAAGTCAATCTGATTAAAACCAGATCTTTGATTCCACTCCCGATACTCTATCTTGACTGGAACGTAGAGTATCGCGAGTGGAAGCAAAGATCTGGAGAGAGTATCGGGAGTGGAATAAAATATCTGGTTTTAATCAGATTGTTTCCAAGTGATGTCTTCTATTTCAAATAAAGACGTATTTCAAGGAAATAATAAAAACGCTCTTGCGCGTGCCGTATTCTTCCGAGGCTTGGTATGTGTATCTCATAGCCCAATACTATATCAGGAAAGGAAATTACTTGTTTATGGGAGTGGTCCAACCGCTACCTGGCTACATATCTGATACTGCCTTGTGATGTCATGACAAGTATTGTTTATGCACTATTGGGGGGTTGTAAATCTCTTACAAGAGACAAACAATTTTGTATCCAAATCGAAATTCGACAGAAGTGTACGACTGTTAAAGCTAGCATTTATTTGGCCCAAAGTCTCTCATTGCTTGTCAGCAAAGGAAAAAAGGAATTCGCTTCCCGCTCTCGTCATTAATCGCGAAACGAGTTCTCAAATGATATCTTTGTTCTGTTACTTTAAGCGCACAACGCATCGATTTCATTAGGCATAAGGCAAACAAACAAACAAAATAATGATAATAACATAGAATTAATAAATAGATAAATAAGAACAATCAAATAAAAACATCCCGCATTGTGTAAATTTTTGTGTAAAAGTTATTTCTGTTTTATGTATACTGGATCATCAGTAACTGCTCTCTGGTAGAAAATGACGTTAATCTAAAAGGTTTTACTATTTTTCATTCTAAAATAATATTGTTTTTTGAGAATTCTTACAATGAATGCTTGGATAAGGCCAAATTTGAGGTGCTATTTTTACTTCAGAGGGTATTTTGTATCTCATGTCGGGAATCTCCTAAGAACGTAATTGACATGTACCGTCCTCTAAAAGGGCCATTCTCACCGAGTTATTCATAACGTCTTTTTTTCGAGGTATAGTATAGTGTTACGACGGCGGCATAGCGAAACTCTTGAACACCTGTTTCTCTGTTAGTAATTACCAGTACACAGCCTGTGTTGATTTACCATTGCACCATTTTTTCAGTTGATCAACCATATACTAACCATGTAGTTGCTAACCATTACACACGTGTTTCTGTTGGTTTAACATTGCACATGCGTCTGTTGGTTTAACATTGCACACGCGTCTGTTGGTCTATCATTATAAAGGTTGCACAAATGATTCTTGCCCTTTCATTATAAAGGTGGCGTTGGTCTACTATAGCACACGTGTCAGAATGGCTACTGTATCAAAATATATGTTGGCTTACACAAATTACACAATTATTTTATACCAGTTTACACGTGTCTCTGTTGTTTTAGTGCCACACGTGTCTGTTGACCTATCATTACACGTGTCTCTGTTGTTTTAGTGCCACACGTGTCTGTTGACCGATCATTACACGTGTCTCTATTGTTTTAGTGCCACACGTGTCTGTTGACCTATCATTACACGTGTTTTGTCGACCTACCATTAAACACGCGCATCTGTTGTCTGCAAGGGGTTTGAACTGGTTATAATCAGTGTCTTAATGTACATGTCTAAAGTTTTTATGGCTTCAAAAAATAGTTCATAATAATAAAAAAACAAACTAGTATTGCTTTGACAGATTTAATGGCTAGGATAGGTTAACCAACAACAATGTGTGATGATAGGTAGGATGGACACACGGTCTCTGCAATGACTGAAACGGTGAGGTTGGTACCTAGTGAAAGTAAAACGATAATGAAACAAAATCAGCTCAAGCAAACTACCAGACCACAAATAAGGACAACGATTAAGTTTTGAACTGGTATATGCACTACCCAATCATGTGCATTTGTATTCTGCCTTTATATATATAATAAGATAAAATATATATAAAGATATTTGATAAGTCGACATAGTTGCATTATGCGATTAGCTTATTGACGAAACCTGAGCTACGTTAATCAGTTTAACATTAGTTAACGTAATTTCTCGCTGACCCTAACATAACATAACGGAACAGTTTGAATTTGTGAAGATACTGACCGAGTTTATGTTGCATGGCAATGCCGTGACAGTAGGAACACAGGTTAGTGTGAGTGCGTAAGTCGGTCCCACAGATAGGGTTGTACGTCCGATCACAGGTCTTTAAAAGGATATCCTGATGACCACCTTCCACTGCGATCTGCCCATTTAACTGATATGGACTACAGTCCATCTATCAAATACAACACAACACCATTTGAAACGAACTTTATGTCTACATAATACAGTTGTTCTAATATATAAAGAAGATAACACCATGCTCACCACTTCCTCGAGTAAGATTACAGACAAGTATGTTTGGGTGATCCATATTAACTCTATACTATATATAGCAGAATTCAAATTGATGCAGCATTCCCCTCCCTCTCAATTGTCTTTCGAGAATGTAAAATAGATCGAAACTGTGAAGTTCTAGACTAATCGGCTGTTGAAGAAAGATCCAATAACTCGCTAATCCAGCACCTGGTATAAGTATTAAGTTTTTCAATATAGACGCGTCCCATTGATCGACAAATTATGTATCCAATGTTTCCTACCGAAGATACCTCAATATACGCTAAAATATACTTTTTTTTAATGTTTTTGATCATAAATCACTTATGATTTTATTTCGCTACTTGTATTTCCGGGAAATGCAGAACGTCTTCATAGTAATAATAATAGAAATAGAAACCATATTCAGAATACCAGGGCCTCTAACTACCAAAGTCTGAGTAAGTGTGGTGTGTCCGAGTAAGTGTGGTGTGTCCGAGTAAGTGTGGTGTGTCCGAGTAAGTGAGGTGTGTCCGAGTAAGTGTGGTGTGTCCGAGAAAGTGAGATGTGTCTGAGTAAGTGTGGTGTGTCCGAGTAAGTGTGGTGTGTCCGAGTAAGTGAGGTGTGTCCGAGTAAGTGTGGTGTGTCCGAGAAAGTGAGATGTGTCTGAGTAAGTGTGGTGTGTCCGAGTAAGTGTGGTGTGTCCGAGTAAGTGAGATGTGTCTGAGTAAGTGATGTGTGTCCGAGTAAGTGCGGTGTGTCCGAGTAAGTGTGGTGTGTCCGAGTATGTGTGGTGTGTCCGAGTAAGTGAGATGTGTCTGAGTAAGTGTGGTGTGTCCGAGTAAGTGTGGTGTGTCCGAGTAAGTGTGGTGTGTCCGAGTAAGTGACGTGTGTCTGAGTAAGTGAGATGTGTGTCCGAGTAAGTGTGGTGTGACCGAGTAAGTGAGATGTGTCCGAGAAAGTGTGGTGTGTCCGAGAAAGTGAGATGTGTCTGAGTAAGTGTGGTGTGTCCGAGTAAGTGTGGTGTGTCCGAGTATGTGTGGTGTGTCCGAGTAAGTGAGATGTGTCTGAGTAAGTGTGGTGTGTCCGAGTAAGTGTGGTGTGTATGAGTAAGTGATGTGTGTCCGAGTAAGTGTGGCGTGTCCGAGTAAGTGTGGTGTGTCCGAGTAAGTGAGATGGGTCCGAGTAAGTGTGGTGTGTCCGAGTAAGTGAGATGGGTCCGAGTAAGTGTGGTGTGTCCGAGTAAGTGAGATGGGTCCGAGTAAGTGTGGTGTGTCCGAGTAAGTGCGATGTGTCCGAGTAAGTGTGGTGTGTCCGAGTACGTGCGATGTGACCGAGTAAGTGTGGTGTGTCAGAGTAAGTGTTGTGTGTCCGACTAAGTGTGGTGTGTCCGAGTAAGTGTGGTGTGTCCGAGTAAGTGCGATGTGACCGAGTAAGTGTGGTGTGTCCGAGTAAGTGTGGTGTGTCCGAGTAAGTGAGATGTGTCTGAGTAAGTGATGTGTGTCCGAGTAAGTGTGGTGTGTACGAGTAATTGAGGTGTGTCCGAGTAAGTGCGGTGTGTCCGAGTTAGTGCGGTGTGACCGAGTAAGTGCGTTGTGTCCGAGTAAGTGTGGTGTGTCCGAGTAAGTGCGGTGTGACCGAGTAAGTGTGGTGTGTCCGAGTAAGTGTGGTGTGTCCGAATAAGTGTGGTGTGTCAGAGTAAGTGTGGTGTGTCCGACTAAGTGTGGTGTGTCAGAGTAAGTGTGGTGTGTCCGAGTAAGTGTGGTGTGTCCGAGTAAGTGACGTGTGTCCGAGTAAGTGATGTGTGTCCGAGTAAGTGCGGTGTTCCCGAGTAAGTGTTGTGTGTCCGAGTAAGTGCGGTGTGACCGAGAAAGTGCGGTGTGTCCAAGTAAGTGTGGTGTGTCAGACTAAGTGTGGTTTGTCAGAGTAAGTGTGGTGTGTCCGAGTAAGTGTGGTGTGTCCGAGTAAGTGACGTGTGTCCGAGTAAGTGACGTGTGTCCGAGTAAGTGTGATGTGTCCGAGTAAGTGCGGTGTGTCCGAGTAAGTGCGGTGTGTCTGAGTAAGTGACGTGTGTCCGAGTAAGTGACGTGTGTCCGAGTAAGTGCGGTGTGTCATAGTAACTGCGGTGTGTCCAAGTAAGTGTGGTGTGTCCGAGTAAGTGACGTGTGTCAGAGTAAGTGCGGTGTCTGAGTAAGTGCGGTGTGTCCAAGTAAGTGAGGTGCGCCGAGGTAAGTGTGGTGTGTCAGAGTAAGTGCGATTTTGTCCGAGTAAGTGCGGTGTGGTATGGTAATTAGAAGTAGCTAGGATATATATTTTATATTTCTTTTTTTATCTTTGTGTGAAATAAACATTAAATTTAAAAAAAAAAGTTAGGAAGACATATGCTTTTAAAGTCTTAACTGTTCTTAACTAAATCAAAATAAACAATTTTAAAGTAAATATATATTTTCTACATGCTCAGATATAGTAATATGAACAGTCTGTGTATTGTTTACGATCGAGATCACCTACCTGATAGGTTTTGGTGATGTCAAGGCCATCACAGGACCCGTTGTGTGCAAACTCGTAGCGCTCGGCTATACTGGCGATATGGACATACCTACACTGCAGCTGTTTCAGGAAACACATGCTCCCTGTCGAATAGCAATCTCAGCGTTATAGTGATTGGATGACATAAACTGACGAA